AAAATGCCACTTTGCCATATGAAGGATGAAAAACGCAGATCATCATTCTGGTGTTGGCCTGATGTGTCCTGTTCTGAATGTCTGTAAAGGTTCTCAGTCATCCAGGTCATCGTAGTCTAAGCAGCTTGGACGCTCCAGATGCTTTTCTTTCCAAGCTCCTTAGACTCAAGTTCTGAATGTTTTTCTCTGTTATTTGTTTATTTATGCAGTGCAGACATCAGAGTAATGTTGCATGAACCTGATCTTTACATAAGAATTTTATAACTGTTACACTGAATGTTTGTCCTATTTGGCCGCTCTATGGATTATTTAAATAACATAGACTGTGTTAGAGTCTAGGGTTGCCAAGGCTGTCACCGTCATCATACCTATGCATCTTAGTTTTAAATTATTTTTTATCTATAACTATAGATATATTCTATTTATGGAACTGTTTGTTTGGTGTTTGACAAATGAAAAATTAATTTATGGCTATGTATAGATATGCTTTTTTTGTTTTGTTTATTAGCCAAAGCTTTATCTTGTGTTTAGAACGCACTCTACTTGCCTCAATAGATCTGTGTTACTGAAAATCATTAGATATAAACAAATAGAGATAGATGTATTTACTGCATATCAAATTATTTAGCTTTAGTTTAGAATTTATTTTAGAATTCCACTTTAATATGATGACACTCAGTAACCTAAGTTTTAATTGAAGTGGAGGCTTCATGTCTAGTTTGGTACTGACTGATGTTGGAGCTGGTGGGTGGCTGGATACACAAACTTAAACCTAAAGTGTTAAATACCTGTATTATTGAAAAATGCTGACAAATTTGCAAAAATTTATTTATTTATTTTTTTCAGAAACTCTTATAAAGTTAAAAAAAAAACAAAAAAACAAACTAACCCATGAGAATTTCGTTAGTATGTCTGTGTTATCCGTCAGGTATGGAATAGATTTGGAATTTCTTGGTCATAAAAAAGGAAACCTTTTTTTTTTTTTGTTACACTTTAGAAGTTAATAGTGCTGTCATTGCTGACACAGGGTCACTGAAAACAAACAGAGCCAGCAGGAGAGAAACTGT